TGTTGGTCATATTGTTACGCACTTGAGAAAGATGACATTATATTGACGTTTTGTGACATACGTAAGCGCTGTACCAACCCACAAAAAGGCAACATAACTCCGAAGATGGCTTTTCTGCAAGTCAAAATTTTACTACTGCCTTTAATACCATAATACCAAGTGATTACTAATGTTTGTGATTTTTTTGTTAGGTTGGCGACATATTTAAAATTTAAAATAAGCTGCCATCTTCTCATTAGTTTTTTAGGTGGGCTCATGTCAGAATTGACAAATGTGAAACTAACATACTAACATTGCCAACCCAAAAGTTTGCTGTAATCATTAATAGGCACACAATATTTAACTTACGTTTTTCCTAGATTTGTGATTAAACACCAAATAAAATAGTTGTTACGCTATAAATTTCAAGTGAGATTTATTAAAGTTTTTAAATGATGACATCAGTTCTTCGACTGAAATGAACAGATAAATTATAATTAGCGTTTTATCATGTTTATAATAATCTTAAACTACACTTTAGTTTTGTATTTATGAGTTCAATAATTTTGTAGTTCAAAGAATTTCGTGCCAGAGACAGGTGAAAACAAGAAATCCACATTTTCGTATTCTAAAGTCTGTGAAACACGAAGGAAACACAACTAAAAATCTGCTAACATGATCTTACCTCCCTTTAGCTCTTGCTCCGCAAGTGAAAAAAATCCCTTTATTTTTCTTTGCTCTTTTAAGTATTGTCCTGTTTGACATTTCGTTTGATTATGACATTTCTAAATTTTTAAGTAGTGTCTGGCAAAAGTCAATTAATTTTCGTTATTATATTTGGACAAAAATATTTTTATTTTTTAAATTATAATCTACTTAGGGCTTTCCTCGATATTTCATTAATTATTATTGCAAATATAAAATAAGCCTTAAGATTAAATTGTACAGTTTTTATTTTTGTATTAATAATAATAATAATAATAAAAATAATAATAATATACTGAATTTATTTTCAACTATACAGAGTGTTTCGTTTTTAAGAATAATACACAACTTAGTTTTTTCACATGGAGTGTACTCTATATTTTTATATATTCTGATGGACTTCTTAGGGTTTAAAACTATATTTTAATTTTGAAATTCCTATGCGATGTTGCGAAGTCATCCCAATTTTCTTGAAATTTTTTAACAGTGGAAGGGTTCACAAAAAATCCCAATACGATCATTTTCAAAACTTGGGTTACAATATTTTGTGGAGTGATAGTTTTATTGTGGTGTAAATAAAATTGGATTTTAATATACAGTGTTTATAAAAATAAATTTAAATAATTTTCAAATACAGATAAGTCAGTTTTTTCAAATTGAGCACTCTGTACTTTATTATTGCATCTTATTCTATTTTTTGTTCTTTTTCTTTTAAGTTTTTTCTATATTTAAAGTTGACAGATTTTAAGATTCTAAGATGCAGTAACAGAATATAGGATGTATAAAAAAGATTATTTTTTATAAACACTTTCTACATTAAAATTTTATTTAATTCATATCATAACAAAAATAAACTATATTACAAAGCCTAGGGAAAGGATAATAAGAATAAGTAAAAATAGGGGGGGGTAGGGTGTTTCTACTTAAAAAAACTTGTTATATCCAATATCTCGAATACAAGACACTCTGTTTATAAAATAATTTTAATAGTCTGTTACTTTTTTATTTCCCGAGCCGTAATCTAAGGAAGTATAGTAATCGATGTGACCTCTAGAGTACGAAAAAAGTGGTTTCCCGTTTCCGTCTGTCTGTCTGACCGTTTGTCTGGTGTCTGTATCCACTTTTATTAGTAATTTCCGACCGATTTTTCTCACATTTTGTGTGTATATTAGGAATATCATGTAGATGGTTAAACGCTAACTAAAATTTCGCTAATCATCCCCACCATCAATGGGATGACGTCATCTCCAAAATTTATAATAAAAAGTTGTTTTAAATTTCATAAAAGAAGATACTCCTTCCTGCACTTGTGGTGTGTGAACCCGGGTCGAATTTTCAGCCTAGATACACACAATTTTTGGAAAAATTTCAAAACTGGGTAACAATATTTTGCAATTTAACTTTGAAATTGTAAAACCAATTGCTTCGAAATCGTGTAAATATTTTAAGGTTAACGGAATCATGGTAAATCATTAAGGCCAGTCCCCACGTTTTCTCAGCGGAATTTTCGCTCTATTTTCAAAATGTAATATCTCCGTTATTAACAGATCTATAGTTTTCAAATTTTAAATATATGTTGTCCATAACTTTCTTTATATAACGCAAGGACAATTTTGTTAAAAACAGCTTGTAATCATATTATTTTTTTAATTTTAGTGAAATTTTTGCATAACGTATTTTTAAAAATCAATATCTCAATTATTAAATAAAATTTCAGAACACGGTTTTCAACACTGTTTTCAGCTTACAAAACTCCAGAAATCATACGAGACATATCGTCGATTTTATTTTTTAGAAACGATACACAGTTAAAAAAAGCGTATATCATGGAAGTTGCTAACTTTTATTTTTACTATATCTCAGTCCCAACAAATAAAGTCAAAAATCGACCTCGTAGAATTTCTCAAGTTTTGCAAGCTGAAAACAGTGGTGACAACCCCGTTCCAAAATTTCCATAAATAACTGAAATATTGATTTTTAAAAATACGTTATGCAAAAATTTCACTAAAATTAAAAAAATAATATGATCACAAGCTGTTTTTAACAAAATTGCCCTTGCGTTATATAAAGAAAGTAAAGTTATGGACAACATATATTTAAAATTTGAAAACTATAGATCTGTTAATAACGGAGATATTACATTTTGAAAATAGAGCGAAAATTCCGCTGAGAAAACGTGGGGACTGGCCTTAAGCAAAGTTTATTCGTTTATCCCCTTCCAAAAAATTGAAGACGTCATCTCAAAATTTTGCTGTATGAACCCTATCCAAAATGTGCAAAATATGATGAGTCTATACTTGTGATTTATCACTGCATTAGAAGTTTTTAAATTTCTTATATAGAGTGGCACATAAAAATTAATGGATGAGTCAATTTATTTTATTGATTAAATCGAGAACGGCTCACTCTGTTTTCCCGAAAATATTGGGAAGGGAAGTTCTGTCGAAATAATGTTTGACCAATTTTTTTCTATTTCTAATAAAATGCATGAGACATCGATGCTCGTACCCCAAGTGACTCATGTTGTATATCAACTCTGTATATATCAACGCTAAATTAATATTTATGCTTTAAAAATTTTCTGACAAATATTAGGCACACCTGCTTTTTCACTACCTTGAGGGCTTTGTTTAGTGATTTAATATTACAATGTAGTGATTTTTATTGCTCAAACGTTATAAATTAGAAAGCTGAAAAGACAAAAGGTACTTTCAGGCTGAGCTAAGAATGCAATATGATGTTAAAGTTGAAAGCAAATGTTTTCGGATTTTTATACTTCGTTGGTAATAGTACCTATAGTACAGGAAGTTTTGCCGAAAGACGGCACAAGAATATACCCAGTGGCATGTTCCACTTTAAATAATTACAGTTGCATCACATTCTAATTGAATGTTACTGCAACCAACTTTCAGCTGTCAAATGATTTAAGTTTGTTTTATTTATTTGTTTATTTGCTATAGCCAAAAGCTACAAAAATCATCGAGAACCACTTTGTGCATAAGAAGGAACGAACGAAGAGTTTTATGTGAGAGAATAATCAAAATATCCTCAGTTTTTCTTGTTAGGTTTTTTATTGTAGTAGGACATTTTTTGACATTTTCTGTTCAAATTTAACTTTTTGATTGCTTGATTAAAAAAATATCTGAAAAAAATTACCTAAGTATACCATCAAATCAGTTTGTCCAACATGGAGAAAAAACATCAGTGCCTATTTTAGACCGAAAAGATCGTGAACTGATTTCTTAAATTTTAGTAGAAATATTTAAAGATTTCGACCTTGATAATTCGTTCTGTAAAAATTTAGAGATGATATTAACCCTTTTAAATTAATTGATTACATAAAAAAAATCACTGCAGGAAGGTGCATGAAACTTAATTATTTCTAGACAATTTTTTGTGTTATTTGTTTATTATTTTATTTTATCATTTTAACTTTAATTTGATGTATGTACTTTAAATACGGTATAAGCATATACATTATTCATGAAAATTATAAAACCTTGAAAATTAATGTATTCTTTTAATGAAAAAAGTGACTTTACAAACTGTTCTTTTTTTAGTTAATTTTTAGTTAGACAAGTGCGCTCTCAGAAATAAGCTACAACCAACTTAAACAGCTAACTGTCGAAATAGTTAGTCAAGAGTTAACCCTCAACTTTACGTGGAAATTTCGCTTCATTCTCGACTACATCAGTTCCTGCTGTACCAACTCCTGCTTCAATGCTGTTCCTCGAATCGACCGTTACTGATTTTCTCGGATAGTAACAGGAACGTGTGGGATGCAGTTCTACATTCTTTATTTTGTAACCGTCTAGAGGCGGTTGGTTAGTCAGTTTTTGAGGTGACCTCTTCGCACATTTTTATCTGCTCCCACCATGATTTTTCTTTTCTCTAATAACTAATAACGCGCGTATAATCTACGGCTGTCAAATTCTGACGCAGTAATCAAATAATTACAGTGTGAGAAAATGTGGGTAGTATTTACGCTTTATTATGTGTTTCACTTTGGTATTGACTTGTTTTTGTTGCCCGACCTGGGTACAACGCATGCCGGGTTATGCGTCTTAAACTCTTTGAAGTTTCATTGGGTCTACGTCGTTGGAAAAACAATCGATACTGTTTAAATTTTTTCCAAAGTTAATAAAATATCTCTTGACATAAATTTGTTTTGGATGAAATTTTGTACTTTCCCGAACGTATATTTTCAGTAGTAACAAAAACGTGTATCCTTCAATGAGTTTTCTATTGTATGTACGCACTAACATGTTATGACCACTAAAATACCGTATCCAAAGCTATGTATTGTGTCTTCGTTTGGCTCGTTGGCTCAGTTGGTTAGAGCGCCGCGCTGTGTGACAACGACGGAGGTCGTAGGTTCGATCCCTACACGGGCCCAAATTAATGTTTTTGTTTTTTTTTTTTTTAATAATTTTTAACAAACAAAAAATATTACGAAGTATTTCGACACATTCAATTTAAGTATTTCAAAAATTAGTCACACTTTTGCTTTTAAATATTAGTGTTAAATATTGGCATATGTTCTATTGTGACAAATTCCTGTTTTATATGTGTGTATGGTGTTCAGATCAATAAAAATGAGCCAGTATATATACCTATGCATTGCGTTCAAGAAACAGAAATAAAAAGTGGTCAACGAATAAATTTGTTTTGGATGAAATTTTGTACTTCCCCAAACGTATATTTTCAGACGAAAACATTCGTAGTAATAAAAACGTGTATCCTTCAATGAGTTTTCTATTGTATGTACACACGCACTAACATATTATGACCCCTAAAATACCGTATCTAAACCTATTGGTTTTCGTTTGGCTCGTTGGCTCAGTTGGTTAGAGCGCCGCACTGTGTAACAAGGACGGAGGTCGTAGGTTCGATCCCTACACGGGCCCAAATGTTTTTTTTTTTAATAATTTTTAACAAACAAAAAATATTACGAAGTATTTCGACACATTCAATTTAAGTATTTCAACAATTATTCACATTTTTGCTTTTAAATCTTAGTGTTAAATATTGGCGTATGTTCTATTATGACAAATTCCTGTTTTATATGTGTGTATGGTGTTCAGATCAATAAAAATGAGTCAGTATATATACCTATGCATTGCGTTCAAGAAACAGAAATAAAAAGTGGCTAACGATGTTTAATGCTACGATAAATAATAATCCTCAGACTACTTGTTATACATATTTTTAAAATGGGAACCCAATTTTGACACCATCGTAATAGATTCTCCTGTTACTATTACATCCTGCTTGAATTTTCTTGTTAGTACACAAACAACTGGAAAATAAATGAAAACGTCTCTCATTGCCTTCAATAGTAGCTTCAGACATTAAAAAAATATACATTGTTCCAAAAATATCTAAACCTAAATACCGACAACCGATCAAAATATATTAAAACACGTTGCGTTCGTATTCCGCCAGCTCAAAATATTAATAGACCTCATTGATTTTTTGCGTAAGGTCTATAACGAGGTTCGGGTTTGATACACAGTTGGGCGAAATTATGCGTGAAACTTCTGAACTGCCGGATTTTGGCAGTGAATTATAATTATATATTTCTAAGCAAGGTTGCCATTTTCAAAAAACAATTAAAAAACGCAGTTGTTTTCAAAACGATCTTTATAGAGGATTATTTACTGATAAAATGTATGAATATTACCTTCGATATACGTACTTCAGTGTTTGCTTTGTGTTAAAACTACTATCGATTCTTATTTAACTGATAAAACTTCCACAGAATACACAAAATAATAATAACTTATGCTTCAAACAACTGCATTTATTGACTAAAGCTTTTTATAGTTTTATCGATTTGACTAACTTGGGCTTTGTGGTTTGTTTAAAAATACCATGTTACTTTTAGCCTACATTGTAAATCAAACTGTCGCATGCTAAAATTTATTTCAGACAATCCAGAAATTATCACTCTCTGGTTCAAGTCCGCCGCAAATTAATTACCTGTTAAATATTATCTTTGTTTTTTATTATCTTGACGTACAGTCCAAACTGAAATAATATAAATAAAACCAACAGGGTGTTCAGTGTTAACTAAATGATTAAATTTATTCAAAATATTTCTTGAGATCATTATAAAATTGAAATTGCAAAATTTTCGTTAGAGTTTTATTACTTATTAGTTTTGAAAATTATCGTTCGAATAAACGCACCCGAAATATTTTCAAAGTACCTATAATATAGAAATCTACTAAAATAAATGACGCAATGTTATATTTTTTGCGACAAGATTAAAATATTACTTTTATACTGTTAAGTGGAACTTTAGGTACATGATAAATTTTGAATAAACACATTTGTTTAAAGCTTTGTATTTTAAGCTAGTAGCAAGGTTGGTTAACAACCTTTTATCTCTTACTGTTGCAATAAACTCGTATTTAAATTTAAAATTTTTGGTTAGGTTTAGGAAATCATACTAGGTACTAACATGACCCTTTTTAAAAACAAAAATACTTCTTATTTTGGATCAAACCGAAAGTGCAGTAGTTCGTTATGTAATCTTTTAGTTTTGTTTTATTTTTATCATAGATCATCATAAGTTTTAAGTAATTTAGGTGAGATCATTTTTGATTATCTTTTTGTCTTGGTTTTATCTTATATTGTCAAAGATTAACTTTTTATAAACTGTCTTATTCATCATGACTCACTTTTTTGATCAGATAACGCAAAGGAAATGTTAACTTTACTTATCTAGTTTACATATAACAATGTCTTTTTATAATATGGATTTTATCATTTGAAATCTCAAAGATGTTTCCATGCTAAATGCACTTAAGCGAATACCTAACAAGAAACAAATTATTTATTTTTTAAGAATTAGTTAAGATTTTTTCCAAAATTTCGTCAATATTGTTAAAAAGTCCATCATTCTATGCTCAGTTAAGCCTGTGTATACTATTTTATTTTATTTTTTGTAATAAATCAAATTCATATATTTACACACAGCACTTTCTACATTAACGGATACCCATTAAAATTAATATAAAATTAGAATCAATTTTAAATTTCGTAATATTTACAACAGGATCTCTCCAAAGCATTTCCGAAATAACTATATGATGTTATTATGTATCACTTTCAAACCTACAAACCATGACAAGCACTATTACTCAGCTATTTACCGAATATTAACGAAAATAGGTTTAGTGTCTACATTAGGTCAGGGAAGGTGGGTGAATGAGAGACCTATTTTAATAATTCGTACCCATTTAAACGTCAAGAGCATAGACGAACGGACGAGCAGCCATTTCGAAATAGAAGGACTCTACTAAATTTAAACTCGCCTCACAATGAGGACGCAGTTTGACCCTAAAATGCCCAAGTGAAACGTAACTAACTTAACGTCAGTATTTACAGAGAAAATAAAGGGATAATTGGGTAAACCGTAACACATAACTAGCAAACGGAACATTTAGTATTAACAACCGAAACTCTGTTTTTCTTACTTAAAATTTCCGCATTTGCATCCTGGTTTTATCCCTAGAATTTTTTCTTCATGGTTTGTTTATGTGGACTCTTGTTTCACTGGAAAAGAAGAGCTGTATAATGAAGGTTTGCTTTTTAATGGCAATTACCAGCATAATAACATGAGTTTGCAGCTTTCTTTTAATTAATACTTGATAATGTTTCCGGCATTGTATGATTACTTTTACACGAATTTTGACAAATGACGGCGAAATACATACATCCGTCAATGTTTGACCTCAGCCACCCTGACATTTTTAACTTATTCAGTATTAATTACAGTATTATTTTTTGAAAATCAAAATTTAAGACAAAATGCATTTCTTTAAGATTTTGAAGACGAATGAAAGTTGTAAGAAGCAGACGACTGGAAACATAAAGGATGTCTTCTAAAATGGTTTAATTTATTAATAGGCTGCTGATCAGTAAGAGGGAGAATATCATAACATCCTACATGAGGATACGTTTTATATCTCGTTATCGTTATACGAAATTCGAATACGGTGTTTACTGGAGAGTTGTTCATGAATTTTAAAAGTTTTCAATTCACTCTAAGTTGTTGCCGAGCGACCGAATTGAGTTTCGTCTCTAATGGATTCATAACCGCTTTATTAAACTTTTTATATGTCACTGAAATCCTCTATGTCTCAATGAACTATCATCTGAGCTTCCAATTTTAATAATTTCAAACACTTGCAATTTTTATTTATCTTTTACTTTCAGAGAAATAGCGAGGGCTAGTATTGAATTAGGGTGATGTTGATGAATGTTTAGTTGCGTTTCCAGCCCGAACTGAACAAAAATGTTTCATCTTTCTGTCTGTTCCTTTTATGTCTGGTGTTAGCGATTTGTTAGACAGATGAGATTATTTTGTAGTTTCAAATGGACTCCCAGAAACAGTGATGTCGTATTTTGACGATATTATTAAATAAATCTCACTTAACGAGAAGAATATGTAATATATTTTTACTGGTGGTGTAATAATCCGTTCGTGGTGTTAAATTTACATATACGGGTTGTTCTAAAAGGAATGAACTATGAATCACCACTAATTTAAATTTATTTATTTATTTGTGGTTTTCGAACAGATGATTCAAAAGTGCAATAAGTGATATTCTTAAGCTTTTAACTTCATTTTAAAGCTGTGTGCTAAAACCTTATAGCGAAATATTTGAAATTCAATTCTTTAATTTCCCAATATTTATTTTCGTAAACAAAAAACAGGGTCCATCCGACAGCCACTTTCATGTTTTCTGGATGTTACATGACCCCTAGAGTACGAACGAGCAGGTCTTTCGTTTCCATCTGTCTGTCTGTCTGTCGTCTGCCGTCTGTCCGGTTTTTTATTAGATAGATAATCTCCGAAACCACACTGGACCAATTTTTCTCAAATTTTAGATGTAGGTATATTATAAATATCGTCTATATGGTAAAATGTTAACCAAAATTTGTCTGATGGTCCTCAGCAACAATGTAATGCCATTTCCTCAAAATTTGGTACATTAAACATTATTTAAATTTAATAAAATAATATATTCCTATCACCTAGACTTGTGCTTTATGAATTTGCCTTGTTTTTGTTTATTATTGTTATAATTAGTGTGAAATCTACGTATTTGTCGCAAACCTGCCGAATAGACATATAGTATGACGATCTGCTTTGCAAATGAAAGTTCCGTTGTATCCCACAGCGTTTCCATTTTTTTTTTTTTTTGATAAAATCAAGAAAGGTTTATTCCCTTTTTCTGGAAAATGTAAGGATACAGTCGCGCACACCGTGCTTAATTAATTAATTAGTCCTTTCCTTTATTTTGAGGAGATAAATTCAATTAAGTTTTATTTTCTTTTAACGCAAATGCCACCGCTGATGCTGGTTATTTGAACATGCTAATAGTCGAATTCTTTCGAAATATAAACATAAACAGTCGAAGCTAACCATGTAGTGAGAATGCATTTTTTCCTGTTACCAAATCTGACCACTTTTCAAAAAAGCGGGATTTGCTGAAGTGTAAACTTCGACCAATTTTTTTTATTTGTTTTTTTTATACCAATTTTCTGATTTTGGCAAATGACATACCCTATAAAAAAGAGAGGGTGGGTGGGCGGGGCTAGTATTTGCTAAGATAAAATTGATTTTGGCAAATCAGATACCCTCTAAGAAAAGAGAGGGTTGGTGGGCAGGGCTAGTATCTGTTAAGACTGATTTTGGCAAATGACATATGCTATAAGAATATTTATATAATATATATTTACAGACTGAAGTAGTACCTATCCATACAAAATTAAAAAAAGAATTATTACGCCGAGTGGCATTCTCAGCTTAAGAATTTTCCTTAAGCTAAAAACTAAGCAATGTAGAAACAAAAGCTTTAAGTACAGTCCGACAAATACAATTCTATTTTTCTGTGATAACCTCTATAAAAAAAAACAAAGCGCTAAACAAAGTCGGGGACACTAGTCGTCATGCCATCGAGAATGATTCCCGACACCGACTACTCGACTACTGTAAAAGCTTATAAAATTTGGATGCCTATGGTAAAAATTCAATAAACCACAAGTACAAGAGTATGTTAATTTATAAATTTAAATGGCGTTTATCAAGAAAAAAATTGAGCGGATCTCGTCAAATTGTTGGTTGGGATGATCAATAAATTTTGGTTACGGTTTTACTATCTATGTGTTAGGAATATCGTCAGATGGTAAAACGCTAACCAAAATTTGGCAAATCATGACCATTCATTTAAATTTTGTAAAATTATATATTCATGTACTTGTGATTTATGATTCCGCCTTGATTTTTTACGCTAATCAGGGAGATTTTCACAAAAAATCCAAATTATGTAACAATATTTTGTACCTATCATGACATCTGGCGAACTCCGTGGCCGTGCCGTAAAAATATTAAATTGTTAACCCCAAGATAACTAGTTCGAGTGACCCATAGGCCATAATTTTTTTATCGATCAAACCAAAAATAGTTCACCCCATTTTCTCGAAAATTTGAGAATACAGTAATGTTGCGCCCACCATATTTAATAATAACAAAATAACAATTATTACCATAATAACAGGTATTTACGCAAAGTAATATATAAAAAGAGTGTTTCGCTCCATTGCAGCTTAATTAATAATTTTCGCAGTGGCGCCTTGTCCATAGGGTCAACTGGGTCAATGGCCCCTTCTCCCCCAGAAACAAAAACTGGCCAAAAGTTATTTCGACAGAACTTCCTTCGCTTCAGAAGTATAGTCCAACAAATATTGCCTCTGTGAAAAATGATAAAAAATTCATATTGACGGACAGACAGACGGACAGACAGACGGAAACTGGAGACCCATTTCTTTGTACTCTAGGGGTCATAAAAGATCGAGAAAACGTAAGTAGAGAGTCGGCTGATAGACTCGATTACAATACTTCCTTTGCTTACGCTCAGGAAGTAAAAATAAAAATTGAATGAACTTTTTTTGTCAAAATTACATTTGTCAGTTGTGTATTCGTTTATATTATACCATGACATGAACAAAACAATTCAACCTTAAGACAACCATTATCATTCGCGGTTCGTTGGGTCAATTACAAATATTGACCTCAGGCAGATTATTATACTTAGAGATTTCCTTCGAGTTGGAGTGAAAGAATGAAAAAAATAAATTGGTCTCTCCTTAGCAAACAGATAGAGTATTAGGCATGAAAATTTGTTCGTAGAAGTAGAAGTCATCAGGGAATCGAAAATTTGAAAAATGTTGAAGTTTTATTAGGGTTTAGAATATCTGCTTAATAAAAATCAACACAGACAGACGATCAACGACAGACAGACAGACGGAAATGCGAGATATACCATTTTTCGTACTCTGAGGTGTCATGAAACGTAGAGAAAACCTGAAAGTAGTCATTCGTTGGATGGCCCCTATTACAATATTTCCTTAGCTTAGGCTCGGGAAGAAAAAATATGTAGATATATTTATTCCATTTTAGAAAACCGATACTTATTTCGTTATATTATTGTTAAGGCTCGTCACTGACTCTAAGCAAAAATGGCACGTTTTAATTTTCTTCTCCAATAGCTGTCATTTTCTTCCTAAAGAAGAAGCTTAAAATAATTACAGATGTACATAAAGCAGGGCCCAAAGTCGAAAATTTACGCCAATATCTATAAATATACCTATCTTTGTAATAAAAAACACAGGGGATAAATTCGACTGTTTTCTTAGAAACACAAACCAAAGCAACAAATTATTTGAGGAAAAATAATAAGATCCACGAAAACTGTTTAAAATTAAAAACAGCGGTTAAAAAATGTAAATTTTTAGACATCTTTGAGAGTCTAGGAATAAACAAAAATAGGATTCAATATTGATCTTGGTTTTGTATCCAACTCTTCGTCGTTGTAGAGAGGTGGAATGAAAATCGGTCCAGCAACAGGCTGAGTTGTATAAATTATCAAGTTCAGATTTAAAGTTGACATCAGCTCCTGACAGATTGTATTTTTTTTACTTATACTCTTATAAGTTAAGTACTACAAAAAGCAATGGCCTTAGATTAGTTAAATTTTGACCATAGAAAATATAGGAGATTTCTATTTTTATTTTTTTGTATTGTTGATTCTTTTGACAAGTATATTGTACTTGTTTGTCACATAAATTTATATTATATTTAAAATAATCAAGAGAAATATAAACAACAGATTAGCTATTAGAAATATTTTGATCACAGTGTTAACAATAATAATAAATTGAAAGATCTAGTTGAAACGACAAAGAAATACTGATTTTATAAATATATTTATGAGGACGTAAGACGTCCTTGTTGGTAAAACCCACCGGTGATACCAATCGAGAGCTCTCAGGAATCAGGACTGCATCTGAAAGATAAAAAAAGTCTCTATTAGTCACTTTCCACCGAACATCAATCGACGTTGCCCTTAATGTTCTGGAGATGCCTTTACCGTTTTGTTTTCTTTTTTAATAAAGTGCAATTTTAATAATATTTCAACGAAATCAATCAACAGTTTGTTGTATACTGAACGATAAAAGCGGATTTTAGTTATCAAGTAGTAGGCAACCAACAATACAACACAATCGATATATTTAAATCACGATTAACCAATAATTGACTTCCTGTGAAGTCAAGTCACTTTGTTTAGATAATGACGCAAATCTTGTTTATGCTATAGGTTTAAGGATAAATTTATCAGTAGATTTAAGACAGATAATGCAACCGCATTAAAAAATCTTACTGCAATAGCAACCCAATTTCTTTAAAAAACTTTATTTGTTGCATTAAAGAGAACTGCCGCAGTTTGCTCAAGCAGATCACTTATTGTTTCCCAATTTCCATTACACTTCATGTAAGTATCGCCATCTTAAGATCCCTAGCTTGACTAAAATTACAAACATTCACCTTCAGAAAATAATAAAATTGCTTGTTTTCTTTACAAAGAGAATTAGACGACACCGGTCAATAATGTTGATCCAGTCATTGAAAGTAATAAGGCGAGTACTCAGTAGGGGACCAAACTCCATACAGTTACGAAATACAATGAGTACAGTAACACGGTTTCAGCCCTGCACTCAGAATTTTATTTTTCGACAGGTAAGGCAATAATGCATACATTTTGTTGTTTACATTTGTGATTCTCTAACAAGTGTCGTGTTTGTTTAGTTATTTGACGCTACAAGTAGCACGTACACATACTTGTTGGGAGATGCTGACAGCGCAGAATGCATACTTATCGACCCTGTAGTGGAACACGCCAAGCGCGACTTTCAACTCACCAAGGATTTGAATTTGAAATTAGTTTATGCAGGTAAGGTTTTTTTTCTTGTAAATATTTAATCGGGTCACAAATTTATGATGAAAAATTTACTGGTATGTCGGGAATTTATTCGACAAAAGTGGGCTGCGCGCCGAATTTGCGATAAATTTGACATCGGTTACCGCCGTTTAATGGAATGAAATGTACGAGGGTAAACTGAAAATAACGGCATTCGTTTTTTATTTTTTTGGGTTCAAATTAAAATTAAGCAGAAAAAACAAAAAGTGCTATTAAGTAATGCTACAAATTTTTTGCAACATCGATAACTTATCAGATGATTTATCTTGTTATTTTTTTTCATAAGATTAAAAAATCTATACATCCTCAGATAACTAGCCAAGATTGATATTGAAGTAAAAGTAATTATTTTAATTAATAAACAGAAAAACATTTTCTGTACAAGTTCGGTTAAAATTTTACTGGTCACTTGTAGATTAATATTACAAGTACTACCTGTCAAATATACTTCTAAACTTAAATAAACCTAACGAAGGTGAACTTGTACAGAAATTCCGTATGTACAGAATCCATAAATGCAATTGTTGTTCTGCGCAAGTTTCATTCATTATTTATTTAGATTACAACGGAAGTTGTTTAGCAGGGGCGTTAACTTTTTAACTGAAGAATTAAAAGCAAAATGATGCATCTGCGCCTTTAACAATAAAGTTTGCCTTACGGATGATTTATATGCATATTTTTCGCATAATTTATGCATTTAATTTTCTTCTGAATTTTGTCTAAATTTTCAGGAGTTTCAACGATCTCCTATTTCGTTAAATATATTATTAAGATGCAATGTAGAGATAGTGGTATCAATGTTTTACGGGTTTTGAACTATGTACTACGGACTAATAGATTTATAGAGATTTAGAAGTGAGATGACATTTTTTTATGTTGTTTTTTCATTATAATTAGATTTGTTTATCATTCGAAGATATAATTTGTCTTTTTCTAGCCCACATGTTGACAAGTTGATCAAAAGGCAAATGACAAAATAGATGCGTGTATCTTTGTACCATAAAAGTATATAACATTGTCTTTTGTACTATAACATTAACATCACTATATCGATGTAAAACCACTCAATTTATCAGAAATATGTCATAATTTGTTTCCACATATGCCAGCCACTCAAGATAATCGAGTGTGATGTAAGATAAAATAAAGCCGTAGATTATGATTATGATGTTTTATGGATAGTTTTTATTATTAAAGAAGAATTATTATTATTCCACCTCTTTTATATCTTTGTTAACGTTGTTAACACTAGTCATCTTTAATTTAAAATAAACAGTGTTATATGGTAGATGTTACAGTAATAATGTAGTTTGTTCTTTTAATTTTAAACCTTAACCTCTGAGAAAAGATTACAATCATTCATTTATACGCTACAACATTTCTGCATGTTTTAACATATTATTAAACTTAGCTTTTGTTGCATATCCTTACGTTCATTAACAAGTGGATGTTGTTGTCTGTTAAACAGTGATATGGCAAAATCAACATTGAAATTTTGGCATTTATTTTGAGGATCTATCAGATGCAAGTTTCAAGTACGAGGGGATGTCATAAATTTTCTGAAGTGTAAGCTTATGATTTTGTCAGTCATTACTAACAGCATGTCCCAACTTATAATAATTGGTTTGTCAAATATACAAATAATAAAAATACGTGAATTCCAAAAGTACAGATGGTAATTTAAAAGAGCAATTCTAGAAAAATTCTAATAGAACATAGGGAAAGGTATGAAGATTTAAATTTCAAAGGAAGAATTGCCTTTAAAAATAGAGCCACTTGTGGAAAAATATAGGAAATTATAGAACAATCCATTTGGGGAAAACATTACTCTGACGATGTAGAACAGTCCTGTCGTCAAATAAAGGATTAAGCAAGGACTTTCAACCAATTTTTTGATAGAAACGTTAGTCTGCATGGAGAATACAGAGTATATTTCTAAGTGAGGTTACTCTTAAAAAACATTATGCGAGAGTTTTCAAATATCCTCTTTGAAAAATAGATAAAGATTATTCTGTTGATAGATTGATAGATCGGTTCTTCAAGAGAAGCTCAGTTAAAAGAAATTTCTAAAAGTTAGAATAAAACTTGAACTGTGAAAACCAAGAAACGAAGATAAAAAACTTGGAACGACAATCCAGTGTGATTTTCGAAAAAAAAAAAAAAAATCAAAGTATCAAAATCTGGTTCTTGAGAAAAGACTATTTCGATGTATTTTTTTGAAAGATGATGAAAGTTTAACGATGTATAAGGGAAATTCACCTTTTTTAAAATTTTATAGTAAGCTTCTGTTGGTTAATTTGACAGTCTGTTCTACAGGTATCTGACCCCTGGTGTAGGCCGTCGTCGCCGTCCCCTGCCACACCGTCAATTGCGATAACGGAGCATAAAAGCTGCTAAATTTTTAAGCTTTTCTGTGATGGCATGACACTAATTTAATTCTTTTCCTTTATTTAATTTTTTCCTTTTTTGTTGTTTCATGAATTATAATGGCTGAAATGTTTGCATTAAAACACCGCAATTTCTAAATGGCCCGTTTATGTGGTGAATTATTAAATCAGCCACAGTTATAAATATTTCACAAATGAAAATTCGCGCTCTAAATACTGAGAGCAATATTTATTCATCACTTCTCCACTTAGATCGATGAGAAATGCTCGGTATGATCATAACGTGGAAAAAGAATTCGGCAATCAATTTGCAAAAAATGTGCTTACTTATGCTTTTGCGAGGAACTTCTCTCGCGGAGGGTTTGTTTGTTCTTTGCCTTATTATGGAATTACCATTCTCTCCGACCCTATTAAATATTAATACCGCCATCAAATTACACCCGCTTTTCATGACACGACAACAAATTGATTTTTATAATGAATCCGACCTTTTATAGAAATTGAAATTGAATTTTCTTGTAGTGAACACTCATATGCACGCCGATCACATCACTGGCACAGGATACTTAAAGAAACTTTCCGGCTGTAAAAGCGTCATATCTCGGCAAAGTGGGGCGCAAGCTGACGTACTTATCGAAGAAAATGATTTTATAACATTCGGCAATCAGCGTTTGAAGGTCTTGTCGACTCCTGGACACACCAACGGCTGTTGTTCCTACTACAGTGAGCAGCAGGTAAAGTATTCGTTAATTAGTTTTTTGTTTAAATTAAAAAGTTGGTTTAACTAAAAAAACGCTCCGTTAGAAAAGAGAGCAGAGTTTTATTGCCGTTGAGGCATAATTAAATTTTTGCCGGAATTCCTGTGAAGCGGAGGAGTTGAGTGTGCTTTGAATTCACCCCTTTCATGGCCTTTGTCAGCAGATTTTAGACATATTTTACGGAAGTTGTGCCCATACAATTTTTATTAGGTACCTGCAAGCACGGCATTAGCTGCATACAAAATAGTGCTGAAAACTTGTGGTTTTGCTAGTTCATGCTTGTTTGAGGGTCGGGGTTTATATAGCAGATGGCGCTGACATGTCTCTAGTGAGAGACTTCATTTATTTCATGCACGGAATTGCCAGGATAATAGTGAGCACTTTCAACTAAGTACCTTGAATTCCTGAATGCTGAATTATAATAATGACAAAAAACAGCTAGTTGGATGGTGGTTCTAAAGACTTTGTTATACTGCTGCAGTTTTGCCAAGTCGAGCTTGCCAAATCATAAATCAAATATGACATACCATAATTCGTAAACCTTCAACGTTGCAAAAGTTACGATCTAGCTTTGTCTTCAGTGCACTTGTAATAAAACTTGTATTTTTGCAACGTTGGTGGCGATGAAATTATAAAACGTCAGAAACTTGGCACATTTGATTTGTAATTTCTCAAAGTTGCTTGGCGAACGTGCGGTTGTGTAAACGCTACTTTAGAATTCCAGGTGCCAGTTTTAGTGGGAGCGCAATTTTTTAATTTTGATTTTAGTGTAAGAAGGGTTTATGTATCAGAAATGGGATTAATATAGATTATCATTTTTATTCGACAGACAAAATAACGATAGTAATGGCAATAATTTTACAAATTAGGAGTATAAATTAATAATTTGGAAGAGGGGATATTGTACTTTTTTACAATACATACAGTGTTGTAAAAGTGATAAAGTTAGTTTAATGACCAAATGTAACAATAAAAAAACTGTAATTTTGACATATTTTTTTCTTTTATCATCTTCTATAAGTTAATACAAAAAATATATTAGGAGTCCCTAAGATTCTTTGATACTCTTGAAACTAAAGATCAAGAATCCCAAGAATTTTTCAAATTTTTTTGAAAACAAAGCACAAGGGCCTTTAAGGATTCTTTCGGTTTCTGAAAAAAAGAGCGCCAAAAGAAAAACAATGATTACGAAGGGTTTTTTAAGATTCCTTCAAAAACAAACACAGATTCTTTCATCCTCTTTTAATAATAAAACAACACAAGACTTCTCTTGATTTTTTTCAAAAAAAAATCTTTCAAAAACAAAACACAAGATTTTTTCCTTTTTTCAGGAGCCTCTAAGATTTTATCAGACTCTTTTAAGAATAAAACAAGAGCCCCCTAAAATGCTTTCGTATTGTAAAAAAAGACGCTAGGGATCCCTAACATTTTTTCAAATCATTTCAAAAACAAAATATCAGGGGTCTTCGATGGTTTTTCAAATTATTTCGAAAATAAAATACAAAGAACCCTGAAGATTCTTCCACATTTATAAAAAAAAACACCAAGGACACCTAGTATACTTGGAAATTCTATGAAAAATAAAACAAGGGGGGTCCACGAGGTTGTTTCAAATTCTTTAAAAAATAAAACACAAGGGACCTCGAAGATTCTTTCACATACTTAAAAAACAGGACACTAATAACCCACAACATTATTATTTAAAACTATAAAAAACAAACAAAAGGATTCCTTGAGATTTTTTCAATTTTTTTCGAAAACGAAACACAAGGGATTCCTAAGATTCTTTCACACTCTTAAAAATAAAATAATGGAAGTTCCATAGATTTGTTCCAATTCTTTAAAAAACAAAACGCAAGAGTTCTAAGATATTTTCTCGTATTAAAAAGGATACTAGGGTCCCTGGACTCTTTCAAACTTTTCCAAAGACCAAATAACAGGGGTCCTTGAGAGTGTATCAGATTGTTTTAAATTTTTCCAAAAATAGTACAGAAGGGACCATGAAGATTCTTTCACACTCTTAAAAAATACTAGGGATTTGGAACATTCATTCAAACTCTATCAAAAACAAAATGGTAAGGGTTTTTCAAATTATTTAAAAAATAAAACATTAGGGACCCCTCACAATATTTCAAACTTTTTCAAGAACAAAACATCAAAAGTTCCCGAGATATTTTCAAATTATTGGAAAAAATAAAATACAAAGGATCTCGATTTTTTTTACATTCTTAAATAAGGCACTAGGAACCCTTAACATTCTTTGAAACTCTAAACAACGAAATAACAAGGGTCTTCGAGATTTTTTTCAAATTCTCTTCAAAATGAAACACAAGGGATTTCGAAGATTATTTCATAAACTTGTAAAGAAAAAACACTACAGACCTCTAAAATTCTTTCAAACTTTATCATAGACAAAACAACAGAGGACCCGAGCGTTTATCAGACTCTTTCATGAATAAAACAAGAGCCCCCTAAGATGCTTTCGTATTGTAAAAAAGGACGCTAGGGATCCCTAACATTTTTTCAAATCCTTTCAAAAACAAAATATCAGGGGTCTTCGATGGTTTTTCAAATTCTTTCAAAAATAAAATACAAAGAACCCTGAAGATTCTTCCATATTTATAAAAAAAACACCAAGTACGCCTAGTGTACTTGGAAATTCTATGAAAAATAAAACAATAGGGGTCCCCGAGGTTGTTTCAAATTCTTTCAAAAATAAAAGACAAGATTTTTCCTCGTGTTAAAAAAGACACTAAGGGTTCTAAAACCCTTTTAAACTTTTTCAAAGACAAAATAACAGGGGCCCCTGAGATTTTATCAGATTATTTGAAGAATAAAACAAGAGCCTCCTAAGATTCTTTTATATTTTTAAAAAATGACGCCAGGGTTCCGTAACATTCTTTTTAATTTTTTCAAAAACAAGATATCAGGGGTCTTCAATGTTTTTTAAAATTCTTTTAAAAATAAAACACAAGGGACCCTGAAGATTCTTTACATTAAAATAAAAGACTCCAGGGACCCCTAGTATTCTTGCAAACTTTATCAAAAACAAAACACAAAGGACCTCGAAGATTATTTCACATCATTATTATTTAAAACTATAAAAAACAGGATTCTTCGAGATTTTCTGGAAATTTTTTCAAAAACGCAACACCAGGTATTCCTAGGATTATTTCACACACTTGTAAAAAAACACACTACGGAGCTCTAAGATTGTTTCAAATTCTTTCAAAAACAAAGCACAAGAATTCTAAGATAATTTCTCGTATTAATAGGGACATTAGAGTTTCAGCACTTTTTCAAAGACCAGATAACACGGGTCCTTGAGACTTTATCAGATTCTTTTAAGAATAAAATAGGGGACGCCGAAGATTCTTTCATGTTATTAACAAAGACGCTAGGGATGGCTAACATTCTTCCAAATTCTTGCAAAAATACCAGGGGTCTTCGATCGTTTTTTCACATTCTCTAAAAATAAAATATTAGGACCCCTATTAATGTTTGAAATTTTTTCAAGAACAAAACATCAAGGGTTCCCGAGATATTTTCAAATTGTTGTCAAAAATAAAACACAAAGAATCCCGAAATTTTTTCACATTCTTAAATAAGGCACTAGGGACCCTTAACATTCTTTGAAACTCTAAACAACGAAATAACAAGGGTCTCAGAGATTTTTATTAAATTCTCTAAAATGTAATGTTATTTTTATCAAAGACAAAACAACAAGGGACCCAAGCTTTTATCAAATTTTTTCAAGAATAAAACAAGAGCCTAAGATTCTTTCATATTGTTAAACAGCGGCGCTAGGGATGCCTAATCTTCTTTCTAATTCGTTCAAAAACAAAATATCAGGGGTCTTCAATGTTTTTTCAGATTCTTTAAAAAATAAAGCACAAGGGACCTTGAAGATTCTTTCATTTTTAAAAAAAGACAACGGGGGTCCACGAGGTTGTTTCAAATTCTTTCAAAAACGAAGCACAAGAATTCTAAGATACTTTCTCGTATTAAAAAGGACACTAGGGTTTTAGAACTCTTTATAAAACAAAGGACCTCGACGAGTCTTTCATATTCTTAAAAAAAGACACTTGGGAACCCTAACATTCTTTCAAACTCTTTTACAAACAAAACATCAGAGATCTAAATATTTTTTGAAATTCTTCAAAAAATAGAACAGAAGGGACCATGAAGATTCTTTCATACTCTTAAAAAAACACTAGGAATCCCGAACACTTTTTCAAACTCTATTAAAAACAAAATGGTAAGGGTTTTTTCAAGTTCTTTGAAAAATAAAACGCAATATTTGAAACTTTTTCAAGAACAATCAAGGGTTTCTGAGATATTTTCAAATTGTTGTCAAAAATAAAACATAAAGGATCCCGAACTTTTTTCAGATTCTTAAATAAGGCACTAGGGACCCTTAACATTCTTTGAAACTGTAATCAACGAAATAACAAGGGTCTTCGAAATTTTTTTCAAATTCTCTCCAAAATGAAACACAAGGGACCTCTAAGATTCTTTCAAACTTTATCAAAGACAAAACAACAGATCAGATTTTTTCAAGAATAAAACAAGAGGTTCCGAGGATTCTTGTATATTCTACAAAAAGACACTTCGGACCCTTAACATTTTTTCAAATTCTTTCAATAAGAAAACATCTGGTCTCTCAGAGGTTTTTTAAATTCTTTCTTTGAAACTCTAAAAAACAAAATACGGGTTCTTTCGAAAATGAAACACAAGCGATTCCTAAAATTGTTTTATACATTTTCACTACGGAGCTCGAATTCTTTTTAAAATTATCTCAAAACACAAGGATACTTTTTTCAAATTTCTCTCTGTTTATCATGCTTAAAAATTGATTGTGCGAATTTAATTTTTTTATGATAGCGTCAATAATTTAAAAAGAAAATAGATCTGGATTTTTGATTAGCGATAACCTTTAAAACGTTTGCAAGATTTCAGAACAGCCACTTTTATTATTTCAAAGTTAAATTGAACAATGTTGTTTCGTAATTTCGATTGAAATTGAAAATCTAGACGTGGTTACCGGTTTACCATCAACACGATATTCATAAAAAAACGTCTACAGTTTTACGACAATCAGTCCAGTAGTTTCAGAGATTATCAGTCTGATAAAACCTCTAATTATTAAGTGAATCTTTTAAAACTGTACTTTCCCAGGTTACGCTTAAGAAGTAAAAAGCGATTGTGTTCTTTATACAGTGTATCTTTAAAACCTGGTGTATATTCGATAAAAAATTCACGAATGAAATTTGACAAACACGCTCGAACAGGTCGATTTAGCCTTTACACAGGATACATTCTATGAATAAATTTGAATTTTGTTGGTTGATGATGTCAGAGTTATTGAACGTGTCTGAATGGTTTAGCAAAAATGTTAATTTGCTTATTTCGATTAATTAATTCTTATTAATTTCGTATTTCTTTACTTTGTAAAGTGTAGCAAGTAAAAACTAACTTAACATGTTGGAGCGTGTATTCCACGACACAATGTAATATCGTGTGATATGAACCATGTTTTATATATTAAGTTTTCAGTTTTATGAATTATGTTTTATGTATTCAGACTTATAAAATGCAACAAAGTGATTATTTCTGTTCCCGTAGAAAATGACTCAGCTCATCTCGAAAATGGTTACGTGCTGGCGAAAAACTAATCGCGGATTTAGAACCAGAGCGTCGAGCTTAGTGCGATCCATTTATTCCTCCGCTTGATTTTTCATTATAGAGCAGCGATGTCTGCTCCTGCGTATTCTACGCCTCTGTACATCGTGAGTCCTCGTCCTTTATCCTTGCATATGCGAAGTTGACACTTGACCTTATTTTTCGAAGTGTATGGACTGCGGACACATTTTGAGAGGGATTTGCGTACAGAACAGCACTTTTCGTGCCGAGCTTACGAGGGAAAGCTTTCACGTATAGCTCTTTAAACATCACTAAATTACACTCGTATGCAACAAAAATAATGTTCAGGTACAAATGTGTGAAATATACGGATTTCACCACCCTTACGTGACGGATGGAGGTCAGTACATTCGACGTTACATAAATCCAGATTCTTCACTTCGCATAATTTTTCCCTTTACAAGAAAATATCGACGGAGAATCGAGTTTGTTACCTGTGGCTTGAGTGTGTTTTCTCGTGGTTTATGTGACTTATTCAAAGGGGAATGCAAGATTAGGTGTGATACATATTTTATATATTGTTGAATGTAGCGGCGAGGCTTATCGGTTGAATTATTCTTTCGTCTCGAATGGAATCTTGAAAGACTGCGGAAACGTCTAAATCGGGAACTTCTTTCGTTTCTTTTTACGATTTGGCAGGCGCCTTTGGCACCAACTGTGAGCTTTCATCTCATGGAGGGGTTTTTCAAATACATGTAAAATATAAAGAGATGTGGAGATTAAGACTTATGCAAATTAGAAATCAATGGCGTTTTGTCCACGATGAGATTTAGAAGAGTAGTGGAAATATTTCTTAGTGGTTGTTTTATAATGAACTCAAAAAGCGAATTAAAAGCTTCTTGTTTAATTATACTTTTAATTTTTTTGTAGATTTAAATAATGAAAAGGTATCTTATCTTCAGTGTATTTTACAAGTTGTAAAATATTAAATTCAACAATCTTGGTTAAGTTGTATTGACGTATTGACCGTTTTTATATATGTAGTATTTCTGTTAATTAAAAATCAACACGGTTATAGATTTTTGCAATCAGCAAATTATTCGTTTTAGTAGAAACAGGTCGCCATTTTCATTATTAAAAATATTTCAACATTTGCGGCGAATTCGCGTTAATATTCACGTTTTAATTAAAATGGATCAGTCAAAAGCAAAATTTAGTAATAGCGAATGGTATATATCGTGCGAATTAAGGAAGGTGAATTTAAAAACGTGTGCATTATTTGGCTTATTTTTAGGAATTCTGTTACAGCGCAGGCAAAGCTGTGTGGCCTGTCTAGAGTTTAATTAATTAATATTGTATTTAGTCTGCTTACCTGAACTAATTAATTATTTATGTTAACGTGTTCGTACACATATCCGGATATTTACTTGGGCTTGCAGAATTCTGTGTAGGTACCATTATATACTGTGGGAGAATGTGATGAGCTTATGACCTAGATAAGTTTCGCGATGATTTATTAAGTTCGGACCTTTATTGTCAAAGTAGAAAGGAACATCATATTTTACATTTACAGGATCACAAGTCTTCATAAATAACTTTTGTTTACCATAAATTGTTTTTAAATTGGGACTGAAAATTATTTCGTGTAAATTTATTTTATACTTCGTGTTATTTTGATTCTATGAACTATTGATCAGTTCTATGACAGTACAATATACAAATAAAAATATCAACCATCAGTTATTAAATTATTTATTTTAAAAATTTCATTCGGGAGCTTTAGTTATAATATTAATACAGCTTTTATAAAATATGGAGCTTATTATTCCATACTACATACAAAATAGTGCAGCATTTTTTAATAAATTGTCTGTCGAAAAATGATAAACGTACATTTTAATTCATAGATTCCTAATAATTAATAAATTTTGTTTATTTTCCTGACAAATTATGTTTGTGTTTTTGCATTATGTTGAAATATCTGCACAAATTTAACCCGTGTCTCGGGCGTATCTTAATACATATTCGATTTACTACCGCCTGATAAAATTTATGAGTGATAAACTCTATTTCCGAGGATATTTCAGATTCAATTAACACACTAATACGGATTGCAATCTATTAAATTACATCCTTAATGGGCAGAGAATAGGTCTTTCAGGTCAATGCATTGTGACCTCAATCTGAAACATAAATGGATTTTATACAAAATAAAATATGACGGTCGAGATGAAACTGATTGAATTTTTATGAAGCCATAAATGTTAATCATTGTGTTTATCATTCAGATCGATAAGAAAAATACTTATGCTTTGTTAGTAATGAATAAAGTTGTGCATTAAAAGCAGATTAAACCCGTTTCTTTTTCTGAGCAGTAATAATCAGCGATCATTTTACGACTAGTCGAGGTAATGTTGAACCAGAAAAAATCTCGGAATCTTATTTATTAATACAAAGCAATCAGCCCTGTTTCGTGATGTTAATGGCCTTAATTTTCTAGGACACAGGTTCTTATTTTCCCTTGTGCTCTAATCTACGCATTACAGCACACGGCAGAACAAAAGCTTGTGTCCTAGAAAATTAAAACAATCATCATCTTTTATTTCCAGCTGTTTTGATTATTATTGTTGAAAAAAGTTTTCAGTTGTCGCATGTCTTGCGCGTTGCAGTCATTGTGGCTAGCGCAAAGCTACAAACTGACCTTGATCCGTCCAATTAGGGCCGACTTTTCTCTGAATGTTAAACGTCGGTTGAGCTTCCAGCAGCTGTACTTTCTAAGGTCTTAAGATTATTCACTAACTTCCAACTTCATGTCTTTGGAAATAGCTTTGTATGAATGTCAATGCGTGGATAACAACGTAAAAGTAAACTTCCTCAATCTGCTTGGATGCCCCAATTTTGAGCTCATATTTTGCATTTTTATGAATGGGGATGGATGTCAGTCATGAGAGTTTGGAATAATACTGTCGCAATAAAAGTTTGTTTGATGTTATTACAGTGGAGACAGTATAGTGTTGTTAAGACGTGAGTGTGCTAACAATAGAGTATTTTTGTCGGTTCTTAATGAAGCCGGCAGGATTTTTTCCGTCAGTCCTATTAATGTCGCACACAAAAATAATTAAAAGTGTAAAGTTGCAAACAAACAAGTCTCTTCCTGCCCCATTTTTCCCGTCCGTGTCTTTGTCTGCTTAATAAGATTGATGGTAATAATAAACGCAGGCCTTAATTGCCGTAAGCATGGTCGTCTTTAATGAAACCCTTTGTACTTAGGGTATCGCCTTTACTGGCGACGCACTGTTGATCCGGGGTTGCGGCCGTACTGATTTCCAAGAAGGAAATTCTGAAACTCTGTATCGGAGTGTACATGACAAGATCTTCACCCTGCCAGACAACACCCGCCTGTACCCGGCTCACGACTATAAAGGGCTCATGGTCACCAGCGTTGACGAGGAGAAGAGATTAAACCCTCGCCTGACAAAAACTATGGAAGAATTCGTCAAGATTATGGATAATTTAAATCTGGCTTACCCAGCGCAAATAGGTGAGTAAACTTAAGTCGAGTTTTAATAATTAATTAGTTTATTAAAAGGGTTTCAAAGGTTTTGTTAAAATTAATGCGGAAACTTGCCTAACTACCTGTAACTTCATTTAAACAGAAACCTCAGATGCCGACGAAATTCGAACCGGGTCGAATTTGTACAAGATTGTGGGAAGTTTGGCGTCTGGGTGGAATTTTAGTTTGGGCGAAGTTTTTTGTAATTTAGAAGTTCGCGTTTTTACCGTCTGCGCAACTTTCAGACCTATACATTGTGCCCAAAAATATGGCATAAATTACTGAAAATTCACAGGGTAATCTAGCAAAAAATCTCGCACAGAGAAGTTTTTAGATGACCAGAGATTTTTTTTAGGGTGTTACCGTCTATATATACCTAAAATTTCAAGAGTAATCAGTCAGTCTAGTAGTTATCAAAATGACCCAATCGCAATATTTTCTTGGTTTAAGTCGCTCTTAAAATAGTTTTGGTCTCTACAAGTAATAAATATGTCATAGTGGATTGAACTATAATTACTATAAAACTAATTAAATATAATTAAAACACAAAAGCACGACATTCTTGGTGATTCTGTGTATTGTCTTTAATGTTTTGCTTCATTAAATTGAAGAAATGTAAATTAAGGGTTTGTACCTAAATTTGCATGACCGAGATTTTATGATTATAGCAGGATGTGGCTTACTATTCAGCAAAATTGGGGCTTAATAAAATCCTGCATAGTTTTGTTAAACGTAGTAATTGTACACAGCGCAACGATGAACTTTTAAAATTAATTACTGCAAAGTTTAATGGATCTAGTTTGCGAAGTCTGCCTTAAGGTGTTTACTATTAAGTATATTGGTAAATTCTATAAGAAATCGGAAAACGTTTGTTTAAAAGTAAGGTTAAGTGCATTAGTAAATGTCAATGTATACGTTAGCGGCAAATTGGAAATTAGCAGGGGCGGCTTGTCCTATGAGGCAGGTGAGGCAGTGCCTCACCAATGAATTTTACGCCTTATTAGGATTTTTACTATTTTTTAACGACACATTTCGGCCAATAATTTGTGTCTTTTTTCTAAAATTTTAAAAATAAATATGGAAAATTATATTCTTATTTTTATCTCAGTAGGTACTCGTTGCTCCCTTAATTAAACAGCGCGCTGAAACACTCGACACAACATGTATTTTGTGACGCGAATGAGGCAAACTCGGAGCTTGCCTCTACAGCGGATATAGAAATCATATCGTTAATAGGCAAGCAACCTGCAATACACTCATAAGCGGTATGAGTTGAAAAAAGACAAAATTGAGGCTAGCCTCATTTCCGTGCTTGCAAAAGAGATGGACAACAATATTTGCGCGCGGAGAAAGTGCGATTACAATGCAGTCTGCATTTGCAGAAGTATTCAAAATTAGGCCGTTGATTGTTTTGCCACAAATCTGTGTGTGTATAAATTGATTCAAAATTTCGGTAACAGAATTTTGTCTTAAAAGTGCCTACGTTTGTGTGTGTCGCGTTAGTGCTTTGTGCTTGTCATAATTTGATTTCGGTAATCGTTATTTAAGATTACGAGTAAATCGGAATTTTTCTCTACTAACGTTAAATGACAATAGCAGTTCTGTTTTTTCTACTTTCACGTATGATGATAAATTGTATGTAGTTAAGGAATTAAAACGGCCGGTTCCTGATTTGAGTAAATCGTTAATTATTGATCTATAAAAAAGTTTAAAATAAATCCAGAGTATTTATGTTTTATATGTTTTTCGTTTTGTTTTTTGTTATAAATCAAATAGGTTTATTTTATGTTGTATTTGATTTTTTTCGATATGTTTTCTTTAAAGTTTATTTTAATTTTGTTTTTTTTTTTTAATTTATATTAGTTTTTTCTGACCACGTTTCCCTTTCCTTTTGTCCTGTCATTCCCATCCTTTCCTTACAAGAGTTCCTTACACCTTCACGTTGGTTCTTGGTGGACAGTTAAATGAGTTTACAAATTTGTTTATTTGACTAAGTAGAAAATATTTAAGTAATCTTGATTTATTTATATTTTGGAGCGTATTGTGCTTTGCCTCATCAACTTTTCAAGTCATGAGCCGCCCCTGGAAATTAGACAGATTTATAGATCTCCAGCTGAATAATTATTTCACACTACTTCAGCACTATTTTTTTCGCTGCGAATACTACTTACATACATATTCCATTTCAAAGGAGCACTAAAAGAATTTCTCTCCTTTGAACTAATGAAGTACCTTTTCAGTTTCTTTCGGTGCTGAAATGTTGATGAAGAATTCAGCAGTCAGGAAAAGAAATCTAATATTCGCAGACAGAGTGTGCCCGTGTGACTCCACATACATTTTACGATGAAAGATTATTTTCATAAATTCTGACTTTGCACTTTATTTTATCGAATGACAATAACACAAGCGTTCGTGACAGACATTTATTTTTAGATTTCCTAACTACTGCAACTCACGACACTACGCATTTTTTTTTCAGTCGTGACATTATTGTTTTTATGTTCTCTTATGAAGGGACTGTGTCATTCTACTAATTGCCACTGGAAACGATTGTCGAAAGATAACTTGCAGTGACTCGATTACAAATTATCTTGATCGCGTGAAGTGCAGCTTGTTCATTTCACTAGCGAATGAATCATGTAATTTTTGAGTTAGGTCATAAATGTTGAATTTTCAGTTATTTATTTATAATATCGTAGGTAATTTATAACGTTTTAAATTAAATTTTAATTACAATTTGGGAGATAGACGTAGTTTTTGACTACTATATATTAAACGAATTTTATTTCTGATTTGTGCAATATTTTGTTATTTATTTGTAACATAGATTTAGTAGTTTTATCAATTACATTGCACCTAATGGTTTTACAAAACATGAAATGTGGTAATTGTATATCGATTTTGTGTTTGTATTACAAATAATGATTTTCGTTTAATTAATTTTAGAATAATAATTGGGTATATGATTTAACTAAATGTTATACTGTATTTGCTATTGATAAAATGGATTTAGCTTGACATAAATCATTACTACTTAATATGCCTGGAAAGTTTCTCTAATTCATTTGGCAATACTTTAAAAACTAATTTAGTTCGAATTAGTTTCTCTGCGAAAATTTGTTCGTGCAACTCGAAACGACAAACGAAGTTATAATTCCTGGAAAGCTCTTAGTGCTAAAAATAAAATAGTTTTTTAGTGCACTTTTAGAAAACTAATTAACACTCAGGCTGTGCCTCGAACTGTTTGGAAGCGCCTTAAGTGACTGTAGGTAATGCATTTGATTGCGTTATTATGTAAAGAAAATAAATGAAAAACAAATCCACCGAACAAGGTTAAGAAAGTTAGGTTATGACTGACATTTGCGACATGAACCAGTCATCACAATGAAGCGGCAAAATTCAAAGTTAGCTTGATGTACCAGACTAGTTGTAGACCCAGTTTGAAAACTGAATTTTCAGCATATAATTTCCGTATAATCATTCACCGTAAATTGTTAATTTTAAATTAGCGTTGAAATATTAAACTTCTGGTGGTCTGGTTATTGCATCATCAATAGCAGTTAATTTGATGTATCTGGTAATATATTTACACGCTTTTATGTTCGCATAAAACCCTCTATGTAGATTGTTTGAAGTTGTTGATTATTTTATCTAAAATTGAAATCGTTTTAGTATTTTGGGTCCTACGTCACCGCCAGGGTGGAAATCGGGCAATAATAAGTTAAAATCGAGCTTTAAAAATATTCTGCGGGTTATAAAGCGAGCGGGTGCGATTGACAGGCTATTAAAAATATCTCATTTTGTTTGAATAGCGATTATGTCAATCATTATGTTTGTCGAGATTTCCTGAAGTGGGCGTAAAAACCTCATCCGGATTGGATTAACCAATCGTAATTTGAGCAAGATGGCGATAAATCCAAGACACCTACTAAAGCCAAGTCGGACAAAACTATAAATTACACGATTAAATCCAAGAGTATCGATTTTGACAAACTTCCAAATATGGTGGATGCGCCGGGTCCGCACCACCCGATGTCGGAAAGTTAACACAATAGCTTCTTGGACTTGCATATCGCCACTTCGGCTGTCAATAACAAACTTTAATGCATCAAGACCGTCCAGAAATTCAGCTACAGAAGGGTATTAGGAACGCCAACCGATAGTCTAGGCCATGAAACTGGATAAACTTCCGCTCGGATATTGTCTATCTAGCCGAGCGTGTAATAAGCGGGTGGGGAACTGGATTCGGTGCCTCTAGAACAGACCTGACCTTTCGGGGCTTCATAAAAATTAGAGCAAAAGTATGCCGCACTGACTCATAGCGGGCATTGCTGGCAAATGTAGAGCACGGATGCGGGTTCCGCCGAGTCGGGCCGCACAAATTCTGGTTCGCTTATCGGGAATTGTTTTGGCGAGAAATTACCACTTTTTGCGCGATCGGCTTAATTGAGATTAAAATTTTAGTGTATGTGTAATTTTTTATTGTTTATGTGTCAGAGTTGATTACACAATTAGCAATATTTTAAAAGAGGAAGTTAGGAAAGGGAGATGGTTGACAAAAATTCAATAAAACTTAAGAAGTAATGACTAAGCATATTTTACTAGAGTTACCTTTCAAAAAATGATGACGTCATTTCAAAATATTATTAGAAATTTTGAAAAATATTTAAACAAATTTCGAAATTGTAGATTATTTGCTAAAACTTATTTATTTTTCGGCAAATTGATGATGTCGTTTCAAAATTTTATGTAATAATTTCATTTCAGATATAGAGAATTTTCAAAAAAATGGCGCACAAATTCTGTAACATCATTAATCAATTAATCATGTATCGTTGAGTTGGTCCACTATTTTGTGAATACCCTGTATATTAAATGTCGCTTGTAGTTCAAACATTCTTCTTTTATTTTGACATTTTTAAACAATAATTTGAATTGAAAGATTTGTTTATTTTAGATTTTGCATAGATTTCGTCTTGAGATCATTG